CTTTTTTTTCTTATAAAAGTCTAAATAAAACAAAAATATTGGTGGTAATTTTTGACTGTGTAACTTTATAAACGGCACCTCATAAAAACCAAAACATAAAAMTTAACTCTCAACAACCATGACACTGTTTTAATACATATAAAACTGATTTGTGTCTCTTAGCAGCAGTCTATTATTAAACTTGATTAAATTTCTGCAAATCAGCTCAAGACCTCAAACGTTTTGCTTCTTAACTCCAGTTTTTGGAACCACTGCAGTCAAACGTTCAGACATTTCCACGTGTCGCATTTTTGTCATTTCTAAAAAAAGGAAACCGACAGAGTGGGATCACTTTTTAAAAATCTAATCAGATTGTGTGCTAACACAGCTTCATACAGACTCGTATATTTAAAAAAAGTCCAACTTTGTGGTCACTTCCTGTCCAGACGTCCTGACCCGGCCTGACCTGTCTCACCTGTGACATTGACTATGAAGCAGACCGTGTCTCTGCCCAGGCTGGTGCAGGCGTACAGGCCCGAGTCCTTGGGCGTGGCGTCACGGATCTGCAGCACTTCCTGCTCTATCAGCGTGCGGTTGTTGGTGCCCAAAGAGCTGCCATCTTTGGTCCAAGTGATGGTCCCCGTCGCCGGCAAAGGACAGCTCAGCTTCAGCACCTCCCCCGGGTGCAGCGAGCACACCGTGGGCTTAGAAATTTGGTATTTGTTCGACGCCTCTGCAGAGCAAACGAGGAGGGAGGGGAGGTTGAAGTAGGGGAAAGGAGAAATGGAAACAGAGGAGGAGGAGGAGGAAGAAACAAGCCATAGTGTAAGAAATAAAACACCAAACAACCCCCAATGGAAGCACTTCAATCAACTTATGCAGGAGGAGTAATTCAGAAAAGAAAAGATCCCATTTAAAAAAAACATGAAAGCAAAATGTACCACAAACTTCCAGTCAGTTGTTTTGAAATGGATCCCAGAGAAATCCTGCTCTGCAGTGAGATTCAGTGCATGCAGTTATAACAAAACATCTGTCAGCACGAACAAAAACTACACAAAAGAAAACTGGAAATGGCTTTTGTTGAGGCATCTCAATGGGCTGCCGTTTGTAAAGTTACACAGTCAAAAATTACCACCAATATTTTTGTTTTATTTAACCTTTTATAAGTGTAAGAAAATTCGTATTCAATAAACTGAAGTCGATATTAAAAACACCATTGTTAAATAAAATGATTTGTAGAAGGAATTAAACAATACAACACCAGAATTCTGGATCTGAGTGAGGTTTATTGTCACTCAAGCTGACAGGAAACCAACACTACCGGAAAACCAGTAAGTTCCTGTATATACGTATATACACCTTCTTCAATGCCTGCATTCGCCCCCTACTGATCTATGGCTGAATCACAGG